TATCCGGAATCATGGCTATACGGAACGAAAAACCCCATAGGAACGCATTAAACCCTGTTTAATGCGTTCCTATGGGGGATAAACTCACCACTAAGCGGAAATCCTCCATACGGCCGCCATTTTCGCCGCCTCGGTAAGCGAGGAAATCGCGCGAAAACGCTGCAGGCGGTCATTTTTTTCTTCTGCCGGCCATTTTGGAACCGCCAATCAGCTGTTTACTAAACATAGCAATGCGAACTTTAGCCATTCTAAACATCGCAATGCGATCGCTTTAGCGATTGCAAAATCCGCATCGCTATGCGGATTCATCGTTAAATGGGGCGCTCGCTAGGCGGGGCACCACGTACTGCAAGCAAGCATCACAGAAATACCCATAAACCTACCCTGATGACCAGGGCTACTCCATGCCCCTGAAAGAAACAAGTTATAAGCAACATACGTACTCGCAGCTAGTTACTTTCCGGATCCTGAGGGCGTAATGCAGTTCTGTTTTAAAAGTGACAACATGAACAGGAGTAAAGTTACTCCCCTGATGTAATTACTAATCTATGAAGAATTACTTTAACAATTTACCTTTCAGTGGCATTTTAAAGTATTTTGAGAGGTATTTTGATAGTGTTTTAAAAAGTGTTATGCCTTAAAAAACTCCTTACAGAAAGTTTAGAAAAAGATTAATGAATTCTGTAGCAAGTAAAATGTTGGCTGAAATTCTATTGTGTTTTTCTTGTAATAAAATCTGCATAAATTTTGGCAGCAGCTTGCCATAGGTTTGGATGCCAGCACAGGCATTTTTTATGTGGGCAGGTAGAGTAATGAGATTTTGAATTGCAATGTGTTGATGAAACTGAGTTGTTTTCTGAACGCTAATGATTTCACAACTACATTTCCAAGCTCAGCTCCTGTGTCACCAGTACTCTTACATCTGTTCCTTCCATTGGAGCAAGATCAGAGCTTCTGTCCATTAAAAACTTTTAGCTCCCCCTCCCCCATTTGCTCTGCTGTAGCTCCAGATGTGGGTTTCAGCACCAGAGATTCTCTTCTTCTTTTTATTCATACCCAAGAGGGAGGTGTCAAGAAGCTCTTGTTGTTGTTTAGTCGTTTAGGCATGTCCGACTCTTCGTGACCCCATGGACCAGAGCATGCCAGGCCCGCCTCTCTTCCACTACCTCCCGGAGTTGTGTCAAATTCATGTTGGTCGCTTCGATGACCCTGTCCAGCCATCTCGTCCTCTGTCATCCCCTTCTCCTCTTGCCTTCACACTTTCCCAACATCAAAGTCTTTTCCAGGGAGTCTTCTCTTCTCATGAGATGGACAAAGTATTGGAGCCTCAGCTTCAGGATCTGTCCTTCCAGGGAGCACTCAGGGTTGATATCCTTGAGAATGGATAGGTTTGATCTTGCAGTCCAGGGGACTCTCAAGAGGCTCCTCCAGCACCACAATTCAAAAGCATCAATTCTTCGGCGGTCAGCCTTCTTTAAGGTCCAGCTCTCACTTCCGTACATCACTACAGGAAAAACCATAGCTTTGACTATGTGGACCTTTATCGGTAAAGTGATGTTTCTGCTTTTTAAGATGCTGTCTAGGTTTCTCATCACTTTTCTCCCAAGAAGCAGGTGTCTTTTAATTTCGTGGCTGCTGTCACTATCTGCAGTGATCATAGAGCCCAAGAAAGTAAAATCTATCACTGCCTCCATATCTTCCCCTTCTATTTGCCAGGAGGTGATGGGGCCAGTGGCCATGATCTTAGTTTTTTTATGGTGAACATCAAACCAGTTTTTGCACTCTCCTCTTTCACCCTCATTAAGAGGTTCTTTAATTCCTCCTCACTTTCTGCCATCAGAGTGGTATCATCTGTATATCGAAGGTTGTTGATATTTCTTCCAGCAATCTTAATTCCGGCTTGTGATTCCTCCAGTCCAGCCTTTTGCACAATGTATTCTGCATATAAGTCAAATAAACAGGGAGACAATATACGGCCTTGTCATACTCCTTTCCCAGTCTTGAACCTATCAGTTGTTCCATATCCGGTTCTAACTATTCCTTACTGTCCCACATGTAGATTTCTCAGGAGATAGATAAGGTGGTCAGGCACTCCATTTCTTTAAGAACTTGCCATAGTTTGCTGT